ACGGGACTTCTCCGACTCATCGAGGGAGTGCGGGGCCCGCGGACAGTCCCCAGTGTCGGCTCAGGTCTCCGGCTGTGCTGGCGGCAGCGGCGTCTCCGAGGCTCTCGCTTTGCCGCAGTCGCCGCCATGTAACCCCGACCCGCGAGAGAGGGCGAGGGAGAGGGGGCGGGGCCTCTATGTGTCACGCCCCCTCACGTCACAGGCTCACTCCACGGGTTCCCCCGCCCCCGCCGGCTCCGCGCGCTTGCACGCGCCGGAATTTCCAACGCCCGTGACTGGGCTCTGCGCGCCACGGGGGTGGCTGGAGAAGCACGCGGGCTAGTCAGCAGCTTCGGGTGGGCTGTGCCCGCAGGTTGTGTGGGAGGAGGACAGTCCTGGATCTCTCTGTTAAGCTACTTGCCTGGGCACTAACGCACAAAGGGACCTATCTCCTTCTGAGCATTACTGAGCACCTACTATGTGCAAGGCACTGAGCTATCAGAAGAGGCCTCACTCCTTGCTCCTGTCATTGGGCTGGGAGCTAGAAGCTGAACCTCAAGGTGGAGTAGCTGGAAAGTTACAGCCCAAGTACAGGGCAAACACGCCAGGGGCCAAAAGATAAGGTCTTTAATATTCTTTTGTTTTGTTTGGGGGAAGCTTTACCACCAAGCTACATCCCCAGCACTTTTAATTTTTTTTTTTTTTAATTTTGAGGCAGGGTTTGTTTAATTGCTTAGGGCCTCACTAAATTGCTGAAACAGGCTTCAAACTCGCAATCCCCCTCCTCAGCTTCTGGAGTCTCTTGAGATTACTGACATGCAACACCGCACCCAGCCTAAGGTCTTTAATTTTGCCTGATTTTGGAGGAAGGCTTATAGGAGAGGTCACCATGGGTGTTCTTTCTGCTGTATCCTGAATAAATCGATATAACCACAGGAGGTGAAGTGGAAGGGGTGTTCCTGCTGAGTGAACTGTGTGAGCGAACACTGGGACACAGAAGAGTACCTTGTTTATTAGAGAAACCAGGACAAGGCCAATATGTCTGAATTTGAAAGTAATGTATTGTGAGATGCAGTGGGAAAGATAGATTTTGTGTCCATTTCTTGATTAAAAGCAAATTTATTTTTCTTGTCATGACTTATTTTGAGTCCAAAGAATCTTTCCAGTGCTTAGGTGAAATTTAAGTAGGGATTTATGAAATTAGAGATTCAGGTCAGCATATTTTTTTCAGTGATAATCACCATCCCAAAGAGAACCAGGCATATAGAAGTCTCTTATCATCATGTGCATTTTCAAGAGTGAAGCAAAGACTCTTCAAAGATCCTGTAGTAGGGCTGGCGATGTGGCTCAGTGATTGAATGTGTGCCTCAGTTGAAAGCTCGCCTCACAAGTGTGAGGCACTAGGTTCTGTCCTCAGCACTGCATAAAAATAAATAGACAGTGTATCCACCTATAGCTAAAAAATAAATTTAAAAAAATCCTGTAGTGACTTGAAGTAGTTCAGATGAGTGTCTATTTTTAAAATATCTTTATTTTATTTTATTTATTTGTTTTGTATGAGGATCGAACCCAGTACCTCACACTTGCTAGGCAATCGCTCTACCACTGAGCCACAACCTCAGCTCCAGTTTTCTATTTTTATGTTTAAAACAATAGCATCTGAATTGGTCCCTAAACCACATGCTTGGTGTTTAATTAAACAGAAGGGGGGGAGATGCTGAGAGCCATAGCTGAGTGGGAAAGAAAGTGGGCATTTTTGCCAGAACAGAGTGGTTGAGAGGTGACACCAGCAAGCCATTGAGATGATAATGGTTATGTTAAGCTGTGTATTCAATTGTATATTAAACCCCTGGTGTTCGCCTTGGCCTGCTACTTTGGAGTTCTCCTGGGGATTTTCGGAGAGTTCCCATTGGTTGGGGAAGTGCAGGAGGAGGGATTTCCGGAGGAGGGAATTCTGTTTGGTGTGTGGTGTGTCGGGGGAGAAGGCCACGTGCGTGGTGTTCCGGAGTGTTCCCGGGAAGTATGTGTAGAGTGCCGGTGAGAGTTCAGGAATAAAGGTTGCTGTTTGAACCTACAAGGCTGTGTGGCGGCTCGGTTGTTTTGTGCCCAGCCAGACTGCGGCAGAATTCCAGGTGTGGAGAGGAGGGAATGAACAAATAACTCCAAGATAAAGAGGAGGTTTGTTCAAACACCAAAATTTCCAACGTGTAGAGGCAGCCCGTCTGCAACAAGAGCTCCTTGCCTATGACTTGTGTCTGTTTCCCTCAAATTCTTTACTCCCACTCTCAGGAACTCTTCTACCTCTTCCTTTCCATCAATAATTTGATCACCCAGAGGCAGGGAAATAAATAACAAGCCCAGAAACTCTGGAGGGTGAAGCAGGAGGATTACAAATTCAAGGCCAGCCTCAAGTTAGCTGGGAAATAAATAACAATAAATAATAAACAATAAATAAATAACAAGCCCTGTTTATAATGTAAGCCAGCACGGTGGCACAAGGCTATAATCCCAGCAACTCTGGAGGGTGAAGCAGGAAGATTACAAATTCAAGGCCAGCCTCCCAGTTTAGCAAGATCCTGTCTCAAAATGAAATATTAAAAGGGCTGGTGATGTAACTCGGTAGTAAAGTACTCCTGGGTTCAATTCTGAGTGCCAAAAGAAAAAAAAGTTTATAAAGTAGTATCACCACTGACTGTCAGTAAAAAACACCAAAATCACCTGTTGGTTATATGAAACCAAGCTTTTGGTTTATAGCAGTAAGGGAGACCATGAAGTTGCCAGTCTCTAGCCTCTCGAAAGAGAAAAAGGTGTCAGGAGAGGAATAATTATAAGATTTGGGAGATCTGATTTAAGATCAGTCTTTTAATGAGGAGGCCAGATGGAGACTGGGTTAATAAGTAATGCTATATAAGTGATATAATAGTTTAAGATGGGTACACAGAGGAAAGGGAGAGTTTTGAAACAAGCATAGAAGAAAAAGCAGTTGTTTGTTAAACCTAATAGATTAATCTTGTTAAGGAGGGGGCTGTTTACCCTGATGAGTTCAGTTAGTAATGTATTCTTCCTATAAATGGACTTGGAGGAAGTTCCTGAAACTGCAGTACAGTTTTTGCAACTTCATCTTCTTGAGCAAGAATTTCTTGGAATTAAACTGTAGACAGTTGAATTGTAAAATAATGTTAATGCAGTTGGTCTTAGTTTTTAATCCTATTGTGTGGGTATAAACAGTTCAGTTTTCAGCTTTTTTAAACTTCAGATTATGATCCACTAATAAGTAGTAAAATCATTTTAGTGTATCATGACCTACATTTTTCCTAAATAGAGTTAAAAAACTAAACCAGAGAGCATCACCTATAATAAAAAGGGCAAGCACTATTTGTGGAATTTTTAGTTATGTCCCACAATTCAACAAGTCTGAAAAGCCATCAATTATGAGACATCATTATTTTATATGCTGTTGAAAGCAAAAAACCAAAAAAATAAAAAATAAAAAACCTTATCAAAATGTGATCCTTCATTTGCTACATTCTGCCTTTATTGATATTAAACTGAACTGGAGGAAACACTTTTTTTTTTTTTTTGGTGCCAGGGATTGAACCCAGGGCCGCATGCTTTCCAGGCAAGCACTCTGTCACTGAGCCACATCCCCATCCCCAGCCCAGGAGGAAACACTTAACATTGATGGAAAAAAAGTGTAAAATATACGGTATATGTAACTGTTGATTGGATCAAATGTAAAATGCATTTCTATTTATTGTTTATTATTTCCATGAGTTATGCTATTGCTAAAAGAACTTGAAAACTACTGTTGTAGTGGAAGAATGGAGGAGATAACAAATAAATCCAAGAGAAAGAGGAGGTAAGTACACAACAAGGCAGCATGAAATGAGTTTCCTGAGCAGAGATGCAAACTACCTGCTCATTTGGAACTTTAATGGGAGGAACAATTGATGAGGACTGGGGACATCAGAAAAGAATCAACTGGAAGAGAGCATATTTGAGCTGGGTTTGATCCCATCAAGTAGTAGCAAGAAAAAGACATTCTCAAATGAAAGAGCAGAATGTACAAAGGCATGAGCAATGGGCAAAGTCTGACAGGCCTGGAGGAATGAAGACAAGTTGGCACCAGATGGAGACGGCTTTGATTACCATGCCAAAACTTGGATTTATGCTAAAGGCAGTAGGAGAGGAATTTAGATGATACAGCTAATATTTTAAAATGATACCTCTGACATTAATGCAAAAGGTAAATTGGATAAGCAAGAGCTAGGTGCCTAGAGATGATAGGAGAATCCATTGTCTTTTTCAGCCCTAAATCCAATTTACTTTATTCTCCAAAAGCCAAAACAAAATTTGGTTTAGGAGGTTGGGCCTGGGGCTCAGTGATAGAGCACTTGCTTAGCACATGTGAGACACCTGATTTGATCCTCAGTACCACACAAAAAATTAAATAAATAAAATAAGGTGTTGTGTCCATCTACAACTAAAAAAAATTTTGTGTGTGTGGTGCTGGGGATTGAACCCAGGGCCTTATGCATGCGAGGCGAGCACTCTACCAACTGAGCTGTATCCCCAGCCCAAAGAATTTAAAAGAATATTAAAAAAAAAAATCTGGTTTAAGCATGAGAAGAGTGTAGAGGTGAAGAGCAGAGAAAGAGAGAGATTATATTTAGATGATTGTTGCATCTCTAATAAGAGGGAAATATTTCATTTGGGGGGCAGAGTGAAATGAACATGGTGAATGTTCAAATGGGTTGAAAGTAAATTGAGTCATACAGTGGCTCCCAATTCACTTCTTTGAGTTTAAATTCCCTCTTTAGGCTACTTTCCCCAATTAGATTATTCAAGAGGATAAAATACCAAATATTAACTTTTTCAAAATGGAGGAAAAGTAGATTTTAGCAACATAGGTTAATTCCTGGAAAATTTCTTAATATAAATAATTGAACACAGCGTATTAGGAAAATGTAAAAGATTATCATGGATTCTTTTCAAGTAAGATATTATAAAGAAATACCACTTCCTTTCCTAATAGGATTACTACATTATTAAACCAGGATGTTGATCATTTTAGGAAGGCAAGACACCTTTGTGGATAAAATGGAGAGATGTAGGTTTAGATTATTGCAGAGAAATTAACATGTAAAATAAATGAGTGTGAGTTGAAATAAAGAGTGCAAATTAATGGCATGATATTAA